CTGAGGGCACGCAGAAGCCTTGTCCTCAACTAGGGACACTTGACCAAAGGGAGATTACGGTGGAGGCAAATGGCAGGGCCATCATGATGTCCTAGGAGTCAGAGACCCCCAGGCTGAGGTTCAATGGGCTTTAAGCGCTTGTGTGGTTTGGACACTGGACTTGGGGAGACGGACATGACAGAAGCATCAAAGGAAGGTGTGGACACCAGGCTGGTGGTGGGTATGTTGGAGGTTTCTAGCTGAGGTCTGAGCCAGCTCTGCTTGGAAGATTAACCTCTGTCTGTAGAAGAAATTGAAGGGGCGGGAGCACAGAGAGGCCCCCGCCCCACCCCATCCAACCTGAGCACTCTGTGGGTTTGGGGGCTCCAGCAGGCTGCTCCTAGCCCATGGGGCTGAGGAGAGGTGCTCCACCGGGGAAGCAGCTCCCACCCCCAGGCCCCAGGGGATGCTGCTGCGCCCACTCAGCTCGGCAGGAGCACGTGGAGCTTTCTGCTCTTACTGCTGCCTCCCGTTCTATCACTGCCCTCCACCGCTGGCTTCCCTCCTCACCTCGGCACCCAGCCCTCTGCTGGAAGGGGTTCTAGAAAGCCCCGTCCAGGTCCTTTCCTAAGATCTTGGCCACCTGGGGCTTTTCTGCACTGCATCGGTGATGTTACTGGAAGGAGGGGCCTGGGAGGGGGCACTGGGCTGCTGTCTCCGTCCGGTTCAGCTCAGCGGGTTTCTTCACCAGCGGGAGGGGCAGCAGGATGCCTGCCTCGGGTCCAGTGAGATCAGGGATGAGGACATGACGCATAAACTGTGAAGCACTGTACAAACGAAAGGTTGCCTCTCCCGTTTTCGCCTTTCCTTCCTATACCTGGAACCTCCGAGTGTGAGCAGATCAGATGGACCCAGAAGCCTACAAAGGCAGCTGAGTTGGTAGCTTTGCCACCAGACTGCTCATGCCCAAAGCTGTATTCATTCTTCTGTGGCCTAACCTGAGGCAAGTTACTTTATTTCCTTTGCCTCAGTTTTCCCCGTCTGTAAAACCTCAGGGAGTTGTTCTGAGGACTAAGAACACTATATACAGGTGTTTGTGGCTATGGTCGTCCCTCCTCCCCATACAGAGGCTTTTTGAAGGAGGTTAAGGTCAGTATCCTCCCCCCTGTGCCCAGGTCACGGCCATTGCCAAGATGGGGCCTGGGAGGCAGACCCGCACGGCCTCCCGGGAGGTGCCAGGGCCTACTGGGAGAGAAGCCATCTGTCTTGTGCTTCTCAAGCTTGGGTACGGGATCTTGTTAAAATTCATATTCTAGTTGGGTGGGCCTGGGGTGGAGCCTGAGAGTCTGCATCTAAGAAATTCCTAGGTAAAGCCCATGGACCACACCGAGTAGCAAAGGATTCTCAGGGGTTCTGCATTTGATTGCTTGTAGCTCTGTAGCCACACCCTCCATCCCAGCAAAGGAGGCCCAGTGCCCTGCTGGGGCCTAGCCCTTCTCTCTGGTGTCTCTGTCTCTGGGACTGAGACAATGAGCCACGTGAGGACTGGGAGCAAGTCCAGCATCCACGAGGCTGTGGGACCTGGAGATCTTTCTGGTGGGTTTGGGGGCTCCGGCAAACCCTGCTCTTTTCTGTCCCCCATTCTCCATCCTGGGTGGGGACTTCCTTCTCAGACAGTGTGCATCTATTCCAGCAGCCGGTCAGCGCCTGCTGCAGCAGCTGCATTCCTAATGTAGGTCACCCCCTTTCCTAATGAGGCTGGATACTTCTGGGGGTGGGAAGGGGTCCTTGGGTCGGAGGTGTGCTTGTGGACAAAGGGCCAAGCAGCCAGGAAGCGCTGGGTTCTAGCTCCGTATCTCCCTAAAGGTCACTTCCACGGTGCCCAAGGAGTCGGTTCCGTAGGGAGCACAGGTACCCCTGCCCCTCCCCCACCGTGGACCTGGGGGACTTTGTTTTCATCACATTTCTCCAGAGATGCTGGGGTCAACAGTGTCCTGTCACCTCGGAAGATGATACCTGGGGGTCTGCATTGTGGCAACTTGCCTGACTGCATTTGTACAGCTGACATCATCCAAGGCTGGGGATGGGGCATCAGGACCTGCTTAAGGCCGCTGTCTCCATTGACTGGTGCTTGCTGGTCAACTGCTGGGCTCACTATTGGGGTGACACTGAGGTCTGGGATCGGTGGGTGGGGTGGAAAAGGAGAGCCTGCTTGAAACAGAGGGGAGCAGGCTCAGGTGGAAGCAGGGCCTGGGTTTGGGTGAGAGGGATTCTCTGCCACCTGTCTCCTTGCAAAAAGCTCGAAAGGGTGGGAGCAGAAGCCTGGCTTGGGTCTTGATCACCCCTCCGAGTCTGGGTAGAGAAAATGTTCTGGGGTAGGGGCTGCCCTGTGGGGTTTTCGTTAGACCTTATTCCTACGTTGGAAGTGTCCCTGTACATCTGTCTGCTGGGGGCTTTTGCTGGCTGAGTGTTGGCATCTGAGGGGGAGTGCTGGAGGGCTGCCAGCCAGGCATGCGTGTGTGCATGCGTGTGTGCGTGTGTGTGCCCTCTGTGGGTGTGTTTGCACCATGTGCTGTGTTGGGAGCTCCAAGCATGTGTCTGGGAGCCTATGTGCACCCTGCTCTGTGCACACATAAGTATCTCCCCATAAGGGCCATTGCTGGGTGACAGTCACCAGGGAGTGGATGAGCAGTCAGACTCTGAAGCCGGTGACCTACCTCTGATCTAGTATGTGACCTTGGGCAAGTTGGTCATCACCTCCAAGCCTTGGATGGCCTCCAACCTGCCTAATATTGTGTAGGTGCTGTGAGCTCTGTATGTGAGGCTTCCTGCTGGAGTCCGAGATTGTTCCGAGGGTCAGGGCCTGAGGGACACAGAGAGGGTGGGCACCGCTGCCTGGGACGGAGGTCCAGGAAGGCTGTGCGTGTGAGCGTGCCCCGCCATGAGCATCCTGCCATGGGCCATCTGCTCAGGAATAGAGAAGTAGACCCAGGTGTGAGGCTGGTGGGACCAGGAAGGAGGTGTCACCTAGAACTGCTGCAAGGAGGAAGGGAACTGGGGCTTCCTCACAGCTATCATGGGCTCAAGTCCAGGCTGGGCGCGTTCGCCTGACTGATCTTCTAAGGTAGTGTGTCTTAAATATAGTAAATGTTAACTCTCCTCCCTTAATTAAATTGATCTGCCCCGAGATTCCGCCCATGAAGTCTTACCGTCCCCACTTTGAGAGATAAGATAACTGAGGCTCAGAGAGTTTACACAGTTTGTTTAAGGTTGCCCAGCTAAGGAGTGGCCGGGCCCGGCAGCGAACCAGAGGCCTGCCCGCCTGGGCTGGAGAGGGAGCCGCTGAAGAAGACGCCAGAGCTCCTCCCATCTCCTTCACACCTCAGCCCAGGGCCTGGGGGTCCATCCAAGAGGCAGTGTGGGGACCTGGGCTGCTCCCCACACCCCACAGCAGGGCCCCGGTGTCACACCACCTGGGAGGTCGGCACAACCTGGAGCCTACCCCCCCACCCCAGGGGAGGAGGGGGAAAGCCAAAGCCCAGACCCCCTCCCTGCCCCAGGCTGCCCTTGCCGAGAGCACGGCTGAAGGGCCTGCGGGGGTTGCTGGGTTTTAAGTGGGTTTTGCGACTGGAGGCAGCTCAAGAGTGGGGGCTGGCGAGGCACTGAGGAGCTGCAGCAGGACCTGAAATGCCTGAGGGAAACCCGCTTCACCGGAGGCAGAGATTTCAGAGCTGAACGAGTTAGCTTCCCAGCAGTCCCTCCACCTCCACAGCTGCCTGCTTAACTCTGCCCCTGGCTCCTCCGGATTGGGGGGCGGGGTGCGGGGAGATGGCTGGGTGGGGTGAGAGCGGAGGCTGTGACCGGAGATCACAGAGGGATGAGCAGGCAACAAAGGAGCCAGCCAGGAGCGGTGGGCTGACGGGATGGTGCCCTTCGGGGGCAGACGGGGCTGGGCTGCGGGCAGAGTCTTCCCAAGCCCACCCCCTTCCCCACCTTGTCTCCACCTGCTGCAGTGGCCCCACAGGCCCCTCTCCCATCCCTCTGATGGTGCTGGGAGAGTGGAGGCTCTGGCCTCTGTCTGAGGGCCTTAGCCATACCTGGAAGGAAATGGGGACCACAGGAGGGCCCGTGTCCCTCTTCCTAGTCTTAGGATTGGGGCAGGGCAGGTCCTGAGCCCCTAGACAGGGTGACTACCCCTCTTTTGCCATCTGCAAGAGAAAGCTGCCTTCCTGCCTCCCCGGGCCTGCTCCCAGCCCTGCTTCGGCTCTGAAGTCTCATCCTCTCCTTCCTCTCCCTGTCTCCTGCCTGAACAGCTGCTGCAGCATGAACTCCCTGAGCTGATGAGTCTTATTATAGACCAGCGGGCGGAAGACAGAGCACCGCACCTCACCTCTCAGGCGAAGGTGGAGGGGAAGCGGGAGGCCAGCCGGTGGCAGGAGCAGGGCCTGGGCCTCACGCCTGACACAGCAGCAGACTCTGCCCCCTCGGGGGCCATGGTGAGAGCAGCGCTGGGCCCGGGAACGGTGCTACTATGGCCTCACTCTGCTTACCTAGTAGATATGTCCCTCGGTGTCCCCACCTGTGATATGGGAGAAGGCTCACAAAGGAGGCCATGTGGCCCCCGAAGCATTTTAGAGATCAACATGCCAGAGAGGCAACAGGAGAGGCAGGGGAGGGACACTAGGGAGGCCACCACTGGTGCCTTCTGCGTCCCGTAGGCAGAGCTCAGCACTGGGCCACAGGCCGGAGCCTGCCCTCCTTGCCACCCTAGTCACCCCGGGAGGGGGAAGGTCTCCTGTCTTCTCTGCCCCTCGTTCTTCTCCTTCCCCCACCCAGGGAATCATAGCTGAGACGAACAGGAGAGGGAATGACAAGGAGTGTAAAGAGACACCAGGCCCTCTCCCTAACCCCTGGGCTGGAACGGGGCCTCGAGTGCTGCTCAGCTCTCTCTCTCTCTCTCTCTCTCTCTCCCCTCTCTCCTCTCTCTCAGGACTGACAGGCAGCACACACCGAGGGGCTCCTCTCTCCCCAGAAGTGCAGGGCCGTAAGAGCTGTGGCATTCACCATGCTGGCCCGGGGCAGTGGCCCCGAGCAGAGGACCAGGCTTGCCCTGCAGTGGAGGCAGATCTCCTGTGAGTACAGTGGGGCAGGGGCTGGCGGCAGGGGCTAGCTTGGCACGAAGAGATGCACTCCAGGCTGCAGGAAGCTCTGATCTTTCTGGGATGCCCAAGGCCCGGGAAGCCAGGGGTTACCCTCTACAGTCTTGCCTGGGGTACTGGCATCTGTGGCAGCCAAAGAAAGAGTTGCCATTGAGAGCTTTAGTGGTTAAATCAGGAGCTGGAGGCCATGACGGGTGGTTCTGTGTCTCCAGGTGGGTCTGTTCCTGTGCCCAGGAAGTCCACCCCCACCCCCAGCGGTCTGGCTTGTAGGAGTCCTGCTGCTCTAATGGCAAGTCTCCCTCTTGTCTTTCATTGGCTGGGTGAACCTGGAGACGTCTGTCTCAGTCTTCCTAGCTCTGAAATGGAGGGAACTAGAGAGCTCTTGGATTGCGGTGTTGGAAGGACCGTAGGGGTTGGGTCACAGCCTTCCTCTTGCATATGGGGGAAATTGAGGTCTCCATTTCCCATAAGAAAGCCTTGTAAGTTGTCAGGCTGAAAGAAGCCATGAGAATTCTCTTCAGTAGAGGGAAAGGGCCCAGGTCAGTGAGGACTGGCTTGCCCAAGGCTACATGGTAATAGGTAAGAAATGGTCCTAAGGGACATTATTCTGCCTGACTTCTCCCCTCGTACACTTGGCCCGGTGATACAGCTGCAGGACATGAGCAGCCTGAATTATTTACCATGTGAGAGTGGCTGATCCCTGAGCCACTCAGATCCCGTTTCAAACTCATTCTAGAATCACTCAACACCCCGCAATATAGGATTATGTTTTCTTGTCACCAGAGCTTTTATGTCACCCTGAATTTTCAGGGGTGGGGGGAATAATGGCTTCTGGTTATGATCCTTTTGTGAGGGAAGCTGGACGGATTGACTTCTTTTCTGGGGAAAGTGAGGTCTGAAGAATGTTGATTTTCAAATGGCATGGTGTGGGGTACGGTAGGGCAGGCTGACCTGGCAGCAGAAGGGTTCAGAGGGATAAGAGGGTGAGAGGTGGCAGCAGGTGACCCCATGTGGCCAGGAAGGGTCACTGGTTGGCTTCCATGGCCATGACTGTGCTCATTCCTCTTGAGAATGAGGAGGCTCAGGTGTCAGCCTTGCAGTCCTCCTCTCAGCTGTCACTGACCCCACAAGTGTAGGGGGAGAACAGTTCCTTCAAGCTCTGTTCTTGGGGACACCAGACAACCAGACATCTGCCAGACACAGACTCAAGACCATCCCATTCAGGTGCTCAAGTCGGGGTGGCTGCCTTTCTGAGTGCGGTCACCTGGGCCGTGAACTGGGTCTGATTGTCCATCACTTCCCTGGCTAGGGTCTTTCCTCTGTGCCTCTCTTTCCAAAAGAAAATGGCCACACTGCTGCTTCCTTCCCCTCTGCACCCCTGCCCCCAACTTGGAGCTATACTAGGCTAAGACATGCCACATGTGGAAGAGACAGAGCACAAAAGTGCACTCCCACCCTGCCCTTACAACCTCCCCTGTGCTGTCAGATCTGCATGAATCCCACATCCAAGATGGAGCCAGTAATTTGCCAGACTGGGTGCTGACTTGGTGAAGTTGAACTATTTTGAGCTTACCCATTTTCTCTTCCACAGTGAGCAAACATCTATGAGACTCAGGAAGACACTTGAGGGGAGTTTGGCAGTCCCTCTGAGAAAGGGCTGCTGAACAGTGGAATGAGCTGCTCTGTTGTAATTATTCTCTGAGAACAGCCCCCCCAGCCCTTCCCCAGGCTAGACTCTGAGGCGGCTTACTCAGAGGGGTCCAGGGCAAAACATGGGACCACAAAAGGAACGCTGTTAATGGGTCCATCCTGCAGAAATGCTACCCCACAGCCCTTAGGAACAGGAGCCCAACCTAAGCGCATGGTTCATTTTAGAGTGAGAATAAATATGAAACTTCTCCTAGAACCTATGCTTTGCAGTGGCTTGTGCCCAAGTGTTCTTCAGCATGGAGGTAGATTTGTGCATCTTATCCTCATCATTTCTACTGTGGTCTCTGGAGTGGGACCCTAGATGGGCTCCTGGTCTTCATGCTAAGTTACTGGCCCCCTTCTTGGATCTGACAGCACATAGGAGGTTGTAGGGGGCAGGGGTGGGAGCACCCCTTTGTGCTCTCCCTCTTCCATGGTGGGGGTGCGGAGGGGAAAGAAGCAGCAATGTGGCTATTTCCTTTTGGAAAGAGAATCTTTCTCTGTGACACTGGGAGAGGAACAAGGGAGCAGGTTTCTTTGACATCCTTACATCCTTTGTCAGCATCTATGGTAGCAGTGGGGCCCAAGCTCCCAAGGAGATCAACCAGGGGAGGCCCCATGAGCTGGGGCCTCTTTGTGGAACAGCACTGCTCGTCCTCTGCACTCAGGCCTGCCATTCTCCAGGATCATACTCCACTAAAGTGGTTTCTTTGCCAGATGTGCTGTGAGGCAAGAGCCCTGAGGACACCATGTGATGTCCAGTAATATAGACGTGCTTCGGGTTGGTTAATTATCTTTTTATGTGGTCAGTAAAGGTTTGTGCATTGATTGTGGCTTAGGCCAAAGCAGATAAAGTCAAGAGGCCATTATATTACAAATTAGAAATGCGGGAATCGAAGCAGGAGGTGGTAACCTTCCCGCCTGTGGCTTTTTTTCCTGCCTGTCTGTCCCCCTCCCCTCCAGGGATCACCTGCTGGATCACGCTGTATGCTGTGGAGGCCCTCCCCGCCTGCCCCTTCTCCTGTAAGTGTGACAGCCGCAGCCTGGAGGTGGATTGTAGTGGCCTAGGCCTCACCATGGTGCCTCCCGACTTGCCCGCTGCCACCCGAACCCTCTTACTCTTGAACAATAAGCTGAGTGCCCTGCCAAGCTGGGCATTCGCCAATCTGTCCAGCCTGCAGCGGCTGGATCTATCCAACAACTTCCTGGACCGGCTGCCCCGGTCCATTTTCGGGGACCTGACGAATCTTACGGAGCTGCAGCTGCGCAATAACAGCATCAGGACCCTGGACAGGGACCTGCTGCAGCACTCGCCCCTGCTCCGCCACCTGGACCTGTCCATCAACGGGCTGGCCCAGCTGCCCCCTGGCCTTTTTGATGGACTCCCAGCGCTGCGCTCCCTGTCACTTCGCTCCAACCGTCTGCAGAACCTGGACCGGCTGACGTTCGAACCCCTCGCAAGCCTGCAGCTGCTGCAGGTTGGGGACAACCCCTGGGAGTGTGACTGTAACCTGCGTGATTTCAAGCACTGGATGGAGTGGTTTTCCTACCGAGGTGAGAACAGCTAGTCCTGCCTGGGTGTAAGGAATCGGGACAATCACCCCTGGCCCAACACATTTCCTGGAGGCTGGGCGCTGACTCAGGGCCGAGGTCCAGGGAGAAGGGGGTGGCCCTACCTCTCCACTAGCTCTGGGCTAGAAGAGTCTCAGCCTGGGCTCCAAACCATCGGCAGGGCAGAGAGGCTGGTGCTGCTTCCCCCCCACCTGCCCACTGCTCCACGTTCTTCTCTGTGTGCGCCTCCCAGCTCCAAGCCTCCTTCCTCTTCTTTTTCTTTCAGACTGACTCACTGTAACTTGATCTCACTTCTGTAGGTATTGTGAGGCCACTTAATAATTTTTCTCTACATCCCACCAGGTATGCCTCTGGGCTTCCCTGGCATTGTAGGAGGAAGAAAAACCACCCTTGCTCTTCTGAATAATACAGCAATTTCTTAAATATCCACAGTTTCAGGAGGGTGGAATATAATTTAAATCCACAGATAAAACCAAATTTTCATTTTGATGATGATCTCAACTCTCCCAAGAAGTTTTATATTCAAAGCTTTTAATAAGAAGCCAAATGGCTTTAGTTTTACTCTTTCCCTCCCTCTTTTGGGGAAAGTTCTAGAATGATCTATAAGAGGATTAAATGTAATGAAAAGGAGGGCAAAGAAGTGAGTGTAGGAGTTAAAAGTGCCAGATCCGGGTTTGATTTGTGGCTCTGTCACTTACTAGCTGTGTGATCCTGAGAAACCTCTCTGTGACAGTGTCCTCACCTGTAAAATGGGTCAAATAACAGCTATCTGATAGAATCATTGTGAGGACTAAATAGTAATGCATGTAAAGTGTCTTTTTAAAAAAGATTTTATTTTTTTTGTCAGAGAGAGAGAGAACACAAGCAGGGGGAGCAGCAGGTAGAGGGAGAAGCAGGCTCCCTGCTGAGCAAGGAGCCCGATTCGTGACTTGATCCTAGGACCCCGGGATCATGACCTGAGCTGAAGGCAAGAGGCTTACCGACTGAGCGCCAGCATGTAAAGTGTCTTAAAAAGTACTTAGCATAAAGCAAGTCCTTCATAAAACCTATTCATTCATTTGTTCATTTGCTACTAGTAGTCATAATATTAAACAGACTTAATAAGACAGAATTTGGTGCTCAGCACAAAGTAGATGCTCCATGAGTACTTGCTGAACGAGTGAATCAATGTGAAAATAATGCCAATCCTTTTCATCAGTCTTGCTCTTTTTGTTTCATATCCAGCCACAATCTCAATTATTTGCATGATATTCTCCTGTGTTAATTAAACAATTTTACAGGGGAGCCTGGGTGGCTCAGTCGGTTAAGCGTTTGCTTTTGGTTCATGTCATGATCCCGGGGTCCTGGGATTGAGCCCTGCTTCCGGCTCCCCGCTCGGCAGGAAGCCTGCTTCTCCCTCTGCCGGCCACTCCCCCTGCTTGTGCTCATTCTTGCTCTCTCTCTCTTTCTCTCTCTCTTTCTCAAATAAATAAAATCTTTAAAAAAATTAAAATTTTTTTTTACAAACTGTGAGTCAGGAAACAACAATTAATACTTATATAGTTTCCAGTTTATAAATATCTTTTCATGTACATTATCTATTTTAATCCTTATAGCAGTTAATCCAGTCAGCCATTCTTATTTTATGGCCAAGAAAACCAAGACTCCCTATGCAATTAAATAAATTAAATAACTTGCATGAGATGACATGGCCCGGATTCAACCTCAGGTCTTTGAGCAGGAAGATGAGGTTGCCACCATCTCAACACCGGCTCCTGCCTGTACAAAGGTGGCCCTCGGACACAGTGCGCTGGGTGTAAGCCTTGCCACAGGGCCCCCAGGCAGTCAGCGGCACGGGGGAACTAGAGGCCAAGGGTCTCAGCCCCACGTGTTATCCCTGGGCAACATCCTTGTCCTTTCACAGAGTTATCAGGAACTAAATTCTCAGCACAAAAGGGCATGGAGTGGGAATGTCTATTTTTGGAACTTTTCAATCGTACAGTTGTTTTCAACCTTGCACTTCTTAAAAAAAAATGCCTGGGATGTTTTAATCAGCGTCCCAGGCAAAGCGTATCTCTTGTATGAGGAGACGTGCAGCAGCTGCTCTGGGAGAGGGGCTGGCGGTGAGGGGATGGCAGGCGCCCGTTCGGCAGGAGCCGTTTGGGAAGGGACCTCTTGCCCGCGTCCGGATCTCACTGGAAGCCGATAGAGGGACAAAATCTGACTCTGACTTCCTAGGGGATTCTCCCGAGCTACCTCCTCTCTCACCCCACCCGTGTTCTGCCTCTGTACCCTCTCATGACCTCACCATGGTCCCAGCCTCACCATCGTCATGATGAGCCTGTGCACCTGTTGCCGCCCACACCCCCTCGTTAGCCCTGGCCCCCTCGTCTTTGCCCTCACGGGTCTCAGGGTTCCCTCCCAAGATGCCACTGCACTCAGAAATGCCGTGGTCGGGGTGCTGGTGGGCTGCGGGATTGCGCTTAAAGAAGAAAAGGCAAAAGTTCTCACCCGACCTTTTTTCTCCCCACTCCAAAGAGGTAATCTTGGACAACCAAAAGTTTCCAAATGGAAGAGTGGTGGCGGTGGCTTTTGACTTGACCTTTCTGTGAGAGGGAGGGAGGAACTGTGGAGGGATAAGATATAGTGGAGAAGTGTCTTGGGTTTACAGATGGGCAGGGAGCAGGCAGATTCAGGGCCAAGGAGAGGAGCAGAACTGTGGCCTGTGCAGGACTCCGTTTGCATTGCTGAGTCTTCCCTGAGCACCAGCACGTTAGCAGTGCCGAACTGCTGCGAGTCAGTTTGACTCTGAACAGAGCAGGCTTGACTGAAATGGTTGTGTGCTTCTCTAGAATGGGAATAATGGCAATATCCATTTGATATGGCTTCTGTGCAGGTGAAATGACATGATATATGTACCTCACCTATCATGGTCCTTGGCTTCATAAATCCTAGTTGTTCATCTCCCTTCCTCTCCTATTGATGTGAATCCAGGACCGACTGCATTCCTGGGCCTTCCATTTTGGGGACTTGGGGATGGGGAGAAGGAGTCCAGGTTCTGGATGCCTGGTCAGCCCCTGCTTTCTTTCTCCCCTGGATGCAGGGGGGCGCCTGGACCAGCTGGCCTGCACCCTACCCAAGGAGCTGAGGGGGAAGGACATGCGTGTTGTCCCCATGGAGATGTTCAACTACTGCTCCCAGTTGGAGGACGAGAATAGCTCAGCTGGGCTGGATATTCCTGGGCCACCCTGCACAAAGGCCAGCCCTGAACCCGCTAAGCCCAAGCCAGGGGCCGAGCCCGAGCCAGAGCCCAGCACAGCCTGCCCCCAGAAGCAGAGGTATCGGCCAGTGAGCGTGAGGCGGGCCATCGGCACAGTGATCATCGCGGGGGTTGTCTGTGGCATTGTCTGCATCATGATGGTGGTGGCAGCTGCCTACGGCTGCATCTATGCCTCCCTCATGGCCAAGTACCACCGGGAGCTCAAGAAGCGGCAGCCCCTCATGGGGGACCCGGAGGGTGAGCACGAAGACCAGAAGCAGATCTCTTCTGTGGCCTGAGAGCCCAGCCCCACTTGGCCTAGGTAGGAAGGGCCGGGAGAGCACACAGGGGAAGGCTTCAGTAGGGGCTGGCCCTTCCCTCCCGTGCAGTCCCCTCTTGCACTCTCGCCCCCAGCCCTCCAGCAAACAAGCCCCAGTGCGGCTGTCTCCATGAACTTCCAAGTCTCTGCGGAAGCCGCCCTTGTGCTAGAGGCTCCTGCTCATGCCCCTTTCGGGGCCACCAAGTCTCTGGGACAGCTGGGGGGTCGCCCAAAGCTTCTGGCCATGGGGAAGGAAGGATATGTGTGCAAGTGCAGGCTTCTGGACTCAGTGTTCCCCTACTGTCCTTCCTGCCCTGGGTGACTCTCCCTACCTCCTGCTCATAGCACCTCATCTGCACGTAGGTGTGGGGAGGAGGGATATGGGGGCCAGGGGCCAGTTTCCGCGACCCCCTTCTAAGCCAGGAAGATACTCTCAGCTGCCCTTCAGGGTCCAAGTTGGGTCCAGCTTTGAGCCGCTAGCACTAATGTACAATCACAGCAGCCGTGGCATCTGGACCCAGCACTTAGAAACACAGGACACACTCCCCCTGCTGAAGCCACCATGTCCCTCTGTCTGCTACAGGTCACACAGCAGCCACACTGCTCCTGGCTTCACCCATTCCTCTCACACACACACAGCATCACCAGCACAATTACATAGCCTGGAAATCTCTGTCTGTCCGTGTGTCTGTCTCTCACGCACACAGAATCACATGGAGACAGAGGTCATGAGAACTCAGGGAGTGGAGACCTGTTTCCCCCCCGTGGGTCTCTGGCCCTCAGGCCACAGACCCTTTTGCTTGCTTACTGCAACCTTCTCAAGTCAACAGGGGGGAGAAGCCCACACCGACAACACAAGGATTCCTTTGAGATCCTCTGAAGTGGGCCAGAGTGGTGCTGCTGGATGAGACTGCCTGTCACCATGGTAACCCTCTCACACCTCTCCTGCTGGGTTTTCCAGGGACACCGGCCCAGAGGCCTTGAAGCTGCAGCATGTGTGGATGGCAGCCTCCCGAGAGCCCAGGCACATACCACTGGGCATTTCTTCAGCGCCGTCTAAGGACATCATCACTGCCAGGCCCCGTGGGGACCCCCACCAATTCCACTCCTATAGCCTGCAGCCCAAGAACCATTGCTCTGTACCCCTCACCCCTCCATCTTCAGCAGCTCCAGGCCTGGGACCTCGGGGTGGGGACTGTGTCACGATTGGCGGCATCTCGGGAACACAGACGGCCCTCGCAGAAACTCACTGCCTGAGCAGACCCCGGGCAGGCCCCTGGGGCGGGGAGAGGGCTGCACGGTCTGCCCAGAGGCTTCAGGGCTGGGCTTCCTTCCCAGGGTTTTGTGTGCTCAGCCTGGCTTCCTGGAGTGTTTAATTGCACCTGGACTGGGCTCCAAACCAGAGCGTGGGCCAGGGGTCCTGTTTGTTACCTGCAGCCTACACTGAAGGGGCGGCAGGTGAGGAGACAGCTGTGCGGGGGTTTGGGGGTCACGAGTCCCCTTTTGTAGGTCGGCCCCCTCCCCGTGAGTCTGATCTCAGACGAGTACTAGGTCTCCCTCTGCTGGACACCTGTTTTCCCATGGCTTACGGAGAGTCAGGAGGTATCAGTCTGGTTTCTGGCTCTAAGACGGGGTCTTGCTGGTGGCCTGGGAAGAGGTTTCCAGAACACGGAGGCCAAGGCTCTGAGGAGGGACAGGGCAGGACAGGGCAGGCCCATCTTGCCTTGCACCCCTCGATCCTTCCACCTCGTAGAGGACTGTGGTAGGTAAGGGGGTCTGGGGGGGCAGGGAATGCCTTTGAACAGCGAGGGCCTCAGTGCAGGCTGCTTGGTGGACTGCGGAACATGCCTCCCCCGGGGATGGGGCATAGTCTTCCTTCTTTTGGCTTTCCAGCTGATACCAGATCTAGGAATTTGCTAAAGGAAAAGGAGGGGAGGGGTGGGTATTGTCAGTGGTGGTATCTTCAGCCTGAGACAGAAGATTTTTAAAGGCAAAATTATATTTCTGGTTTGTTGTTTCAGAAGAACAATAAAGACTGTATTTTCCTATGTACCTCTTGGTTTCCTTGGGTGGGGAGGGCATGTGGACGCTGGGAGAGGGGTTTCCTGCCCCCTTACCTGCCCAGGCAGCTACAAAAAGTGCTGCAGGACCTCACCCCAATGTCCAGAGCTCCATCAGAGAGATGGGACACTCCTGCCTGAGGCCTCGCCTGGGGGCAGCGCCGGGACAGGTGTCGAGGGCTGATGTGGATCAGAACGGGGTCTGTAGCTGAGTGCAGCAGGTTACCCGGGGGCTGGGCTGACGGTATGAATTCGTGAGGCTCAGGCTGGTTTCACTGTGCAGCACTGGGGACTGAAGGTGAGCGGGAGACCATCACTGCTCAGTGCCCGTTGTGTGCACATCTGCCCTGGCTTGAGCCAGTCCGCCCTGGCAGTCAAGGGCAGAGGAGCCAATGTGGTAGGAAGGCCTGCATTTGCCCAGAGGACCCCGCTGTGTAAGGGGAGGTGGTAGGAGGGCTCCCTAGGAGCTGCTCATTACGTTTCATCAGCCTTGGTGAGATTGGGGGTGTTGCTAACATGAAGGAGGAACTCTGTTTAACTTATATCCCTCTTGCACCCTCAAGACTGACCTTAGGGACAGGCAGATGACCCTCTGCACTTACAAATATGATCCCTTCAGGGCTCAGCAGGTGGGGACTCAGAATTATGAACTGGAGGGCTGGGGCTGGGGAGACCAGGAGAGGAGATGAGCCAGAGAACAAGGTCTTGGGGGTTGTTCGTCCACCTCAAGCCGGAGTGACTCACCTCCAGGACTGGACTGGCCTCTGGCTGACTGGGCCTGGCCTCTATGGTTCATTAGCCTTCAGAGACCAGGACGGAATTTTCTCCTTCCTAGGAGCTTTCCTTTGGCTGATATCCCAGTGAGGCCGGAGCAAGCCCTAGGGAGAAGTGAGCCCTCCAGGTCCCTTTCCTGGAGTTCAGTGGACTCCCAGAAGAGCTGGGCTGCTTGCCTTTTAGAGGTGGTGATAAATGTGGGGTGCTGCTTTAACAGGCAGGGCGGACCTGAGAGACAGTCTTTCCCAAGCCCCGCTGCAGAAGCAGAGGCCAAGGTCCCTCAGCAGCCCGGCACAGGCCTGGGTGATGCGTAAGTGTGTCGTACGTGCTACTGTTTGGCGTGTGTACGTACACACCCATCCTCACGGAGGCAGGGCCCTGAGGAGAGGAGAGCTTGCGGCTCCAGACGGCAGGCTCACCGCCAAAGGCCTCTGGACGGGGGCACAGGGGTATTGCATGGCATGTGCTAGAGGAACATGCTTGCAGATTATGGTGCCACCATCATTATGCTGGGCAATACTCCCCAACTAGGTCTGGAGGGCAGGGGGTGTCGAAAATGGATCCTGATCAAAAAGTCAGATTCCTAGAAATTCTGCATCAACTCTTGGTAAATCACCTGCTTAGAGATTAAAATGATCCCTCCCATTCAGCTGCCCTTCCGTAGGAACCCGTGGCACGATACACACATCTGGCACGTAGCTGGCCCCAGTAGTTGGGCCTAGTGCCCTTTTTCTACCTTCTCTCCTTGCTCAGGGCACAACATCACCCCTGCAGCTCACCCGTCAGCCACCAATGCTCGCCCAGTTCGGGAGCCCCTATGCATACAGTGCCACCGGTTTCTAAGGGATGAAACTGTCGGGACAGCACACCAGTCGCCTCCCCTGCTTGGAGCCCCTCTGGCCCAGGGTCAAGGAGGCTGAGCCATAGTCCAGGGAGGGGAAATTACAAAAGGAGACCCCCCCCCAAAAAACTTGAAGCATAAGGTCTCTAGTGCCTCACTCTTTTCCTATCAGATCCACACACCCCGGAGCCTCAGAGCCATTGTCTGCAGTGAGTTAACCAGAGGCACCAGGACACGGTTTCTATGACAACGCCTGGAGGCTCTAATTCAGCTCTGAGTTAAAAATGATATCAAATAATTGGAGAGTGCAGGAGAGCGCATCCAGCAGCCTGACCCGGTGTCCCCTCTGTTCCTAGACTCTCGGGTATGCAGGGGCTGAGAGGGTCCACACCACGGAGGGAGGACAGGGACACACTCGGCTGGGACCGCCGAACAGGCTCGAGGGAAACAAGTTTGGGTCCAGTTGTGGCCTAGCAATGGGTCTGGGGTTATCACACTGTGGCCCAAGTTTAAAAACGCTACTGAGATGGCACGAGTCCCTTCCAAATGCTAGAGCGGTGCATCCTGAAGGCCACTGGTGGGGTGCGTGTTTCCTTTGGCGGGAAGTCAGGGTCGGACGATCTCAGCCAGACCCTAAGCCTGCTCCTCCCGCCTCCTTTGCCCTGAACCCAGCCTGGGGGGACAAAGCTCACCCACCCCTGCCTGCACCCCGCCCTGCCCCCTGGCTACGGAGTCCTTTCTCTGGGGTCCCTGGGGACGCAGGACAGGACCCGTGAGGGCTGATGCTTGAGCACCCACTGGACTGCAAAGCTGTGCAGAACCCCGCTGGGGCTGAGACACGGGAACTGAAGCCAGGATAAGGAGGGCTTCACCACACAGGCCTGACCACGCTCAGGCAAGGAGGCCCGGGTGCAAAGGACTCTTTTAGGTACCGAGAAACCACCATGTCCGGGCAGCTGGGGAGGGTCACTGGGTGCTCTCATCACCTTTGAGGTCAATGGCAACACAGGGTAGGAAGCTGGGTCTTAACCTGTCTGAGCTTCATTTGACTTCATAAATTCTTTTGGATCTCAGATTTTATAAACAAAATGGCTTGGGAAGACTCCTTTTTTCCCTCAGTCCCTCCGTTCAGCTGGGAAAACCTCTGGCCGGAGGACTGCGGCCCTCGAGGACCACAGGCAGGGTCCTCCTGCTATTACTGTGTGCCTTGTTCCTGACCTCGACTCACAACGCCCCGACCGCCGTGGTGCAGAGGGCAGCTCCTACCTGCAGCAATGGCTGTCTTCTTGTCCACGGTCACGGCCACAGCTGTGCTGGCTGTCACTACCATGGGCTGGTCTGGACT